CAGACTGAGAACTTCTGCCTTCAGGCAATGAGTGAGAGAAATAATTAAATGGGGGTGGGGTTGCTCTTTGATGAAATTGCATTTGAACACAGACCTGCGGAAGGTAAGGGAACAAGCCATGCCGATAACAGGGAAGAGTGCCTCCCTCAGGCCAAAAGAACCAACCACAGGACCAAAAGGCCCAAGGTAGGAACACCCTTGGTCTGTACAGAGGTGGTCATCAGAGGAAAGAAGAGACTTTGAAATCTGCAAGGAAGCTGCTTCCCACTTGTCTTCCCTGTGTCCCTGGCTGAGGGCCCTGTGGGCTGTGCCACCTTGGTTAAAGAGAGGTAAGAGGCCTGGAAGAGCTCCGTAGAGGAGGGATGTGATTTGACTTTGGTCTTTCTGAAGCTCTCTGACTGAGATGTGGAGACTATCACCACTGTCTCTGGGTACTCCACAGGGGAAATTCACTTTTGTGCCAGTTTCCTATGATTGCTGCAACCAAACTAGTAGAGACTTGGTGACTTAAGGCAGTCCTGGAAGTCAGGAGTCTAAAGTGGATATTACAAGGCTGATTCCTTCTGGAGGCTCTTTGATTCAGTAATCAAATTGTCTTCTTCTGAGTCATATCTTCCTTTAACTCCAGTTGTTTGTTTGCTATTCTTTTTGTTTTGTTTTGTTTTTAAGGTTTTTGTCATAGGGCATGTGCCCTTCCCACTGAGAGAGAGAGTGAATGGGAAAGTGGGAAATCACCCCCTAGGGAGGATGATGACACCATAGTCCCTAAATTCTCCCGTTGGGATTTTTAGGCACACACACACACACACACACACAAAATGTGATTTTCAAACTAATGATTCTGGGACTCAAACAATGGTTAGCCATGTGGAATCTAATGTCATAACCTCTATGCCACCTGCTGGCTCCTCTGTATTTTATTTATCATTTAAAAATTTTTTGCTTTAGGGTGTGTACAGTGAGGGGGAAAGTGAGAAATCACTCCCCAAGGGGCATGGCCACACCATACTCCTTTCTCCTCCATGCTTCTCCCGGGATCTTGAGCATGCATGCATGCACACATGCCTGGAGTGATTTTTTTTTTTTTGGAGAGGTTTTCGCTATAGGGCGCGTGCGCTTGCCAGACAGACAGAGAGAGTCATAGAGAGAGAAAGCGAGAAATCACCCCCCAGGGGGAATGGTCACGCCGCAATCCCTTCTCCTCTATTCTCCTCTCAGGATCTTGGGCACGCACACACGCGCCTGGTGTGAGTTTTAAGCCACTGGGGTCGGGACGCGAACCGCGGTCGACTACGTGGCAGTCCAGCGACATAGCCATTACGCTAACTGCTGGTTCCCATGCCTGGAGTGATTTTGAAGTCACCGGGTCTGGGACTCGAACTGCAGTTGGCCATGTGGGAGTCCAGTGATGTAACCGCTGCGCCATTCGGTGGTCTCGTCATTTAAACTTTTTTTTTTTTATTGAGGCCAGCAGGTTGCGGAGCGGTTAAGGCTTTTTTTTTTTCCACATTATTTATTGTTTGTTTTTTTGTATATACTTTCAATCATATTGTTTGGCTTACAATGAGACCATTTCGATATGTGAAGGCATTTGACTTACATGGCTGACCATGGTTTGAGTACCTGACCCAGCAGCTTAAAATACATACCCAAAATCCCAAGAGGACAATGGAGGAGAAGAGATTACAGCATGGCTATCCCATCAGGGAGTGATTTCTCACTTTCTCTCCTCTTTTTCTCTGGCAAGCACATATGCTCTATAGTAAAAATCTTTTTAAAAAAGATTTTTTAAGGGACCAGCAGTTGGCGTAATGGCTATGTCACTGAACTTCCATGTAGTCGACCATGGTTCGAGTCCTGGAGCTGGTGGCTTAACTCACACCAGGGGCGTGTGCATGCGTGCCCAAGATCCTGAGAGGAGAATGGAGGAGAAGGGATAGTGATGTGGCCATCCCCCCTGGGGGTGATTTCTCACTTTCTGTCTCTCTGTCTTTCTGGCGAGTGCATATGCCCTATAGTAGAAACCTCTCAAAAAAAAAAAAAAAAAACAAAAAAAAAGCTTTTTAGTCTTATTTGTTGGTGTCATTCTGATCCATTATGTAGTTAGGTGTTTAGGTCATTTGGATTTGGATAAATGTTAATTATATTATGGCTTTGTAATACAATTTTTAATAAAACTTCATTGTTTTGTTTGTTTTTGCTATAGGGTGCATGCACTCGCCAGAGAAAGAGAGCAGAAAGTGAGGAATCACCCCTCTGAGGGGATGGCCACAACACATTATTGTCCACTCTCCTCTTTGGATTTTGAGCATGTACACATGTGCCTGGCATGAGTTTCAAGCCACCAAGTCTAGGACTCAAATGCTGGTCAGCCATGTGGGAGTCCAGTAACAGTCCAGCGACACAACCACTACTCTATCTGCTGGCCCCCAAAATTTCTTAAGTAATTTTTATTTACATTTAATTGTCATATATCTTTGTGGTGTACAATATGGCTTTTCAAAGCATGCATGCAGTATGTGAAAATCAAATCCAGGATATTGGGACCAGCAGGTGGCATGGTGGTTAAGGTGCTGGACACTCCCACATGGCTAACCATGGTTCAAGTCCTGGACCTAGTGGCTTTCTCTCACTTCTCCTCTTCCTCTCTCTCTCTGTGTGTCTCTCTCTGTCAAATTAAAAATAAATGAATGAATAAATTAAATTTTAAAAAATCCAGGATATTACTCTAGTCATCTTTTTTTTTTTTTTTTGAGAGGTTTTTGCTGTAAGGGGCTTTTGCTCTCCAGAAAGACAGAGACAAACAGAGAATGAGAAGTCACCCCCCCCCCCCAGAGAGGATGGCCACGCCACAATGCCTCCTCCATTTTCCTGTTGGGATCTTGGGCATGCACGCACATGTGCCCAGCATGCGTTTAAGCCACCGGATCCAGGACTTGAACTGCGGTTGACTACATGGGAGTCCAGCAACATAGCCATTACACCGTCTGTTGGTCCCACTCTAGTCATCGTTTTTAACAAAGAATATTCTATTGTGTATGTATTTTCAATTTTCACTCTACTTTTTTTTGTTTGTTTTTGAGACATATATCTAAGATTGACAATGTCTCCTCTTTTTTTTATTTTACTCTTGTGGTATGACATTTTATAATTAATTTGTCTTGTTTACATGTATTCTCCTATTTATTAAATGCCTTTTTTCTTGAGCTTGTTCCACCCCCCCAACCCCCTAGTTCCTCTTATAAGGATCCTTGTAGTTACATTTATGACCGCTTAGCTATCTCAAGTTAACCTCCCTATCTCAAGGTTATTTACACAGTTTCTTTTGCCATATATGATAATTTACTCATAGGTTCTTGGGATTAGGAGGGGGACCTTCCCCTTTAAAAAAATTTTCTACTTGGAGTCAGCAGGTGGTGTGGTGGTTAAGGTGCTGGACTTACTACATGGCTGATCATGGTTCTAGTCCCAGACTTAGTGACTTGAAAATCATACCAGGTGTGTGTTCATGTGTGCCCAAAGTTCTAAGAGGAGAATGGAGGAGATGGGATTGTGTCGTGGCCATCCCGACTTGGCGGGAGTGATTTCTCACTTTCTCTTTCACTGTCTCTATCTCTCAGGTGAGCACATGTGCCCTATGGCAAAAACCTTGAAAACTCCCCCCCCCCCGGGTTGGCAGGTGGCATGGTGGTTAAGGGTGCTGGACTCCCACATAGCTGACCATGGTTCAAATGCCTGACATGGTGGCTTGTTTTCTCACTTTCCCTCTCTCTCTTTCTCTGTCTCTCTCTGATCAAAACTGGAAAATAATAAGGTTAAATAAAATAATTATTAAAAATATTTCTGTAACCTCTTGAACCCAGGATTTTAACTTTTACCTCCTAATTCATGATAGAGTATGCATCCTCTGCAGAGGATAGTCACATAGTAGTCCTCTTTTTGTAGTCTTCTAGCCTGTCAGATCATGGACAATCATGCTAGTACTGTATTCAGACTCACTGGGAAGTGGATTTGGACCTCAGTTGCCATGTGGGATCTAGCTTCTCTCTTTTTTTTTTTTTTTGAGAGGTTTTTGCTATAGGGCGCATGTGCTCACCAAAAGACAGAGACAGAGAGATAGAAAGCGAGAAATCATGCCCCAGAGGGGATGGCCACGCCGCAATCCCTTCTCCCCTGTTCTCCTTTCAGGATCTTGGGCATGCACGCACATGTGCCCGGCGTGAGTTTTAAGCCACCGGGTCCGGGACGCAAACCGCGGTCGACTACATGGGAGTCCAGCCACATAGCCATTACGCTCACTGATGGTCCTGGATCTCTTGAGCAGTGCATTATCACTGAACCATGGAGCTGGTCCCAGAAGTGGACCTTTTTTGGTACCTTCATTCAGCCTTCCACACTGATGGTTTTTTTGTTCGTTTTTTTTTTTGGAGAGGTTTTTGCTATAGGGCGTGTACACTCACCAGAAAGAGAGAGAGAGAGACAGAAGGTGACAAATCACCCCCCGGGGACATGGCTGTGCCGCAATCCCTTCTCCATTCTTTTCTTGGGATCTTGGGCACACACGTACATGCGCCCGGTGTGAGTTTAAGCCACTGGGTCCAGGATTCGAACTGTGGTTGACTACATTGGAGTCCAGCGACATAGCCACTACACCAACTGCTGTCCCTGATGTTTTTGAATAAGAAGCATAGAGATAGTAGCTCATTGCTTATGGGTGTGTGTGTGAGGTGGATTAGGGTTTCTGAACTCCCTTGGCTTCTGCTTGTGGTTCTTACAGCTCCCATTTCTGGGAGAAGAGCGCAAAGTTCCCTAGAAGACTTGGTCTCATAAACAAAAACTGAGTGACACAGTCCTATAGAAGGCTGAGAAGAGAATGTGCAATGTTTCTAACAACGGGCTGGACCTGCTGCTGAAACAGTGGTCAGCAGGGCTGTGTGCTCATGTCAGCATGGGAAAGAGGCATGTGCTCACATATTAATGCTCTTGTTTCTCTCTTACAGGCCAAGGCTAGAGTGATAGGAAGGACAAGAGGCTGCCATTGTGGACATAGCAGAATCTGTCAGGGCTGGACAGGGGGAAGAGATTCTGTTGAGATGCTCAGGAAGACAGAATGAAGACAGCTCCCCACCCACTGGTACTGGTAAAGGTACCCATTGGTGACATTGGCCTCTGCCATACTGCCAAGCAGAACTGAAAGTCCATCACTCTGCATATCAAGTTAGAGGTACTTTGGAGGTTCAAAGAGGGTAAGAAGCTAATGCAGATCTCCTAGGCCTTGGGGCTGGCCATCTCCACTGTTGCCTCAATCCATGTCAACAAGGACAAGATCTGGGCCATTTCCCAGGTAGCCACTCTGGTCATTGCCACATACCTGACCCGTTGCCAGGGTATGGTGATGGGTCACATGGAATACCTGCTGAGGTGCAGAATGAGGAACAAAAATGGCAAAACCTGCCTATCAATATGGTGCTCATCTAGAACAAGGCATGATAGCTCTTGGCACAGCTGCAGAGATAACAGGGCCATGGGGCCCAGCTGAGACCTCTGGAGCCAGCAATGGCTAGTTTGTCACTTCAAGGTACATCACAATATACTGCTTATAGAGGAACCAGCTGTAGCTGACACTTAGGCTACTGCCCAATACCCTCCACACTATCCTGGATGAAGGCTGTTACCATGTCAAATGTTCAGTGTGGATGAGATGGGCTTGTTCTGGAAGTGACTGCCTGAGTACTCTGCTAGTGCAGGAGGAAGAGACCATACCTGGATCCAAGGCCTCTAAGGACCACCTGCCCATGCTACTGGGTAGCAATGCAGCTGGTGACTTCAAGCTGAAGCTCCTGCTGGTATGTTCCTCAGAAAATCTATGTGCCCTCCAAGGCCAACCTACTTGTGGTGTGGCATTCCAACTGCAATGACTGGCTGACTCCCAGTATTGTCCAGGAGTGGTTTACTGGCTGCTGTGGGGAGCTACTGTGCACGACATGGCCTCCCACACTGCGCCATCTTGTTCCTGGACAGGGCACCGTGCTACCCCTCCCACCTGGGTGGCCTTTCAGCCCATGTGCATGTCTAGTTCCTGCTCAAGAATACCTCAGCCCTAGCCCAGCTCATGAATCAGGGTGTCATTGCTGCATTTAAGTCCCATTATCTGTGCTGCACATTCAGCCAACTGGTCCAGGAGATGGCTGGCAAGGACCAGTCCTCTGCACAGGACTTTTGGTGCAGCTATACTGTCATGACCACTGTGGACAACATTGTGGAGGCCTGGGCAGAACTGCAGCCTGCTACCATACATAGTGCCTGGAGGAAGCACTTGCCTCAGTGTGTGCCGGCTGGTGCCCCTGAGCCTGATGCCATGCCCCAGCTCCTTCGCAGCATTGTGGCACTGACCAGCCATGTGGGCCTTGGGTATGTGGCTGAGGTCAATGTTGCTCACCTGCTCCAGAGCCATGGGGAGCCCATATCCCATCTTGTCCCTCAGGGTGTGGAGGATGGAGTTGCCAGCAGCTCTTGCCTTCTTTAGGAGGCAGGGAAAGGCCTGGTTTCCAGAAGATTAGAGCCAGAGCTCAGAGAGACCACAGAGGGTGTGGACACTGAGGAAGGTGGTGTGAGGGTGCTCAGCCACAAGCATGTGGCCCAGGCTTTGTCCCACTTTGCTGCTGGCCTTTGGGTCCTTATACAGAATGACTCCAACAGGGAGCGCCACCTGCTGGTGTCCCAGCATGTCCACAGTACCCTCACCCGCCTCTGGAAGCTGCACCAAGACAGACTACAGCAGGCTTGGGTAGCTGCATTAGTAGGTCCTGTGGCAGTGGTCACAAAGGTGGTCACCCTAGAGGGGGCCTGCAGAGGATGGGTGAGAAGCTAGGGCACAGGCCCAGCACAGATCTCTACAGCTATTCAGGCCAAGGCCTTCAGATGAACTCTCCCTGGTGATATTTTGTGTGAGGAGGGTGGATATTGCCTCTCCTCCTCCCATGGTTTTCACATCTTATTTGGTGTGGATTTTCGGCAGTGACTCTTACATTGCACCAGGCTTGGAGGACAGGAAAGTGGTGTTTTCTAATTAGTGGGTAAACTACATGGTCCAGGAGGGCCCTCCTATGACACAGAAGCACCCAGGAGGCACATTAGTTACCTCCTACCATGGCCTTCCTTGAGGGCTGAGAGGTGTGAGGACTCCTAGTCTCTGACTCCTTGCTCTATTGTGATCTTTCCCAGTAAATTCTAGACAAGGGTTCCCTGCCCTCAGCCTCTCCCCACAACTTTCTATGTTATCTTTCTCACTCTGGCTTCCATACCCTTTGTTATCTGAAGTCTTTAGTACTTTCCCTATGTTCAAACCTATGGGCATGTGTTGGCCCATGGAGTTTTTACATTTTTTTTTTTGGAGAGGTTTTCGCTATAGGGTGCGTGCGCTCGCCAGACAGACAGAGACATAGAGACAGAAAGCGAGAAATCACCCCCCAGGGGGGATGATCACGCCACAATCCCTTCTCCTCCATTCTCCTCCTGGGATCTTAGGCATGCACACACATGCGCCCGGTGTGAGTTCTAAGCCACCGGGTCTGGGATGTGAACCGTGGTCGACTACGTGGGAGTCCAGCGACATAGCCATTATGCTAACTGCTGGTTCCAAGAGTTTTTACATTTTTTAAGAGAGATTTTTGCTATAGGACATTCGTGCTCACCGGAGAGGTAGAAAATGAAAAATCATCTCCCAGGGGAGATAGTCACACCACCGTCCCTTCTCCTCCCTTCTCTTCTTGGGATCCTGGACATGCATGCATGGTTGCCCACATGAGGTTTAAGCTACTTGGTCCAGGACTCAAACCATGGATGACTATGTGGGAGTCCAGTGACATAGCCATTATGTGTGCTCAGGAGAAAGTGAAAAATCACTCCTGAGTAGGGTGGCCATGCCAAGTCCCTTCTTTATTTTCTGCTTGGGATTTTGAGCCTGCATGCACACATGTGCCTGGCATGAGTTTCAAGTCGCTGGGTCCAAGACTTTAACTGGTCAGACACATTGGAGTCCAGTGCTGTAGCCACTGTAACACCTGCTTGCCCCTCCTGGACTTCTTGTATTATTTAATTACTTAAAAAAATTTTGGGGGACCAGCAGTTAGCATAATGGCTATGTTGTTGGATTCCCACGTAGTCAACTGCGGTTCGAGTCCCAGACCTGGTGGCTTAAACTCACGCCGGGCACATGTGCGTGTGTGCCCAAGATCCCGAGAGGAGAATGGAGGAGAAGGGATTGTGGCGTGACCATCCTCCCTGGGGGGTGATTTCTCATTTTCTGTCTCTCTGGCAGGTGCACACGCCCTATAGCAAAACCCTCTAAAAAAAATTTTTTTTTTTGATATAGGGTACATATGCTAACCAGAGAGAGAGCAAGTTGCCAGGTCTGGGACTTGAATCGCAGTCAGCCATGTGGGAGTCCAGCACCTTAACCACTACACCATCTGCTGACTTGACCCCTATTATTTTAATTTGACCAGAGAGAGAGACAAGAGAGAAAAGGAAAGTGAGAAGGCAAGCCACCAGGTCTGGAACTTGAACCAGTGCTGGCCATGTGGAATTCCAGCACCTTAACCGTCCTGCCTGGTGGCCTCCCTCCTTTTTAAATAATAATAATAATTTTTTTTGGAGAGGTTTTCGCTATAGGGCATGTGTGCTCGCCAGATAGACATAGAGAGACATAGAGACAAAGCGAGAAATCACCCCCCCAGAGGGGATGGTCACGCCGCAATCCCTTCTCCTCCATTCTCCTCTCGGGATCTTGGGCACGCACGCACACACTCCTGGCATGAGTTTTAAGCCACCGGGTCTGGGATGCGAACTGTGGTTGACTACGTGGGAGCCCAGCGACATAGCCATTACGCTAACTGCTGGTTCCCTTAAATAATTATTTTATTTAACTTTATTTATTTATTTTTCATTTTAATTTGACTAGATAGGGGGAGAGAGAGAGAGAGAAAGAAAGTGAAAAAGCAAGCCACCAGGTCTAGGACCCAAACCACAGTCAGCCATGTGGGAGTTCTGTGCCCCTAGATTGCTTTTCTGGCAAGAAGGATGGCAAAAGAGAAAGGAAAGAGGTTTTCTTAGGACCTCAGTAACTGGACTAATGATTGCACAGATTATGAATACCTGTGGTGTGTTAGGTTGTGGGGATGGGTGAGACTGACTTCAGGAGCTGCCAATGCAGACAGAGGTTGTTACAGTGTACGTGACAATGGTTATGACTGGGATTTAGTGGAGGACCGTCTGCTTAATCTGTGGCCTCTCAGGGAGGTGGTAACCCAGCATTTGGGGACATTTCTGGAAACCAGTGACTTCTGTTAATCTAAAAAGATAAGGAGAGGCTATTTGAGAAAGTAAATCTATTTGAGTCAGGGCTGATGGCTGCCCAGGGGAACATGGATCCCAGTTGCTTGGAAGCCACATTTGTGGAAATGGAGAAGGAAGAGGTTATAAAAGTTAATTTTCTCCCTCAGAACCCACATTCGTTTATAAGAATTAGCACAGGCTTCTAATTGACTCTTTCTTTCTTCTTTCTTCTTCTTTTTTTTTTTTTTTTTTTTTTGAGAGATTTTTGCAATAGGGCCTGTGCACTTGCCAGAGAGACAGAAAGTGAGAAACCCCTCCTGGAGGATGGCCATACCACAATCCCTTCTCCTCCATTCTCCTCTCAGCATTTTGGGCACACAGGCACACGTACCAGGCATGTGGTTCAAGCCACCAGGTCTGGGACTTGAACCGTGGTCAACTACATGGGACTGATTGACTTTCATGTGTTTCATTCATCCAGTAACATAACTACAGATGGGTGGGGTTGCAAAGAACGATATTTTTTTTGCCATGAGCTCGCCAGAAGGAGACACAGTGGAAATGTGAGAAATCATCCCTGAGGGGACATGACCATGCAGCAATCTCTTCTCAAGATGTTTTTTTTTTTCTTTGAGAGGTTTTTGTTATAGGGCGTGTGTGCTCACCAGAAAGACAGACAGACAGAAAGCAAGCAATCACCCCCCAGGGGTGATGGCCCCGCCACAATCTCTTCTCCATTCTCCTCTTTGGATCTTGGGCACACATGCACATGCGCCCAGTGTGAGTTTAAGCCACTGGGTCCGGGACTCAAACCGTGGTCGACTACATGGGCGTCCAGTGACATAGCCATTACAGCAACTGCTAGTCCCCCCTTCTTGAGATTTTGGGCAGTGCACATACATGCCTGACCTGGTTTCCAAGTTGCCAGGTCTAGGACTGCAATAGTGGAATTAGCCTTGTCCAGTGCCTTAATCACCATGCCATCTGCTGGCCCACTTTAACTGTTTTCATTCCCATTTCAAAATTCCAGGAGTCAGAGGAGCTTGGAGGAAGCCCAGCATGGCGAGGTGACTGTACTGGGGATAGGAAGGATAGCAAGCAGAGGCCATCCACCCACTGGAGAGTGTGTCACAGCCTTTGAAGACAGCAGGTGACTAGGTATAGTAAGTGCCACCAAATCCAAATGGGTAGCAGGAACTAGGGAAAACAAATGGACACTGGGCACAGCCACTGTGCCAGCGCAGCATGAATAAGCCAGTGGTCTGAGTGTTCTCCACGTCACGCAGGCAGCATGCGGGGTGATGTCATATATGTGTGGGCCCAGTGGGCTCCAAGGCTTCTTTCCTCCAAATCCCATTCTGGACCTTGATGCATCTTCTGTGGTTAGCTCTGGTAATCTGGTAAGCCCCCGGGGGAACCTGTAAAGTACTATCAGTCAGACCCACTGAGTGGAAGAGGAGACATACACTCTCCTTTGATTGCAGGACTGGCAGTCAGGGCTAGGGCCCATCTGGTAACTGGTTGGTGTGGGGAAAGAATGTATAACCTCTGAGTGACTCTGAGTGTGGTGAGAGAATGTGTTTGTGGTTCCACAGTGCACTGCACCATGGGACATGATTGAGTCTGTTTAAATCTTCTAGTTTTTGTTCTCTCCCTCCTGTTTTGATATAGCCATTTTATCTTTAGACAAAAACTCACTACATAAAATTCATTCTTTATAAAAACCTTTCTTTTTAGCCTTTTACACCAGAAACACATTTTTACGGACATAACCCTAGAGAAATCTGGCTATATATGTTAATTTAATAAAATAACCTACTATTAACTCTTGGGAATTTTAAATTATTTTGGAACACAATGTATATATAGGCATACAAGTACATAACATTTATATATATATACACATGTACATACACATATATGTATATATGTATTAACTTAAATATAATATTAAGAAAATTAGAATTACTTAATTTGGCAGTGTGTTTTATTTTTATTTAACACATAAACAATAAGCCTGATTGGTTTAATAACTCCCTTTTGGATGTTTCAGGGGCCCTCTGTAAACATCCAAAAGTAACTTTGAAGTTAAAGATCCTCTGTTAGCACTAAAACTAAAGCCAGAAAAGGCTAGTCATAAATTTTTGTTGTTGTTGTTAGATATTTATTATGTAAAATGAAACATATAACACATAAATACTAACTATTTTATTAAACCAACCATATTAAGATAAACATGATGTTGTTTGATTAATAAAACCTTAGACAAAGTATATGTTGGATATTGTGAAGATCTTTACTTGTTAATTATTATTATTTTATTTATTATTATTATTATTATATTTGAAGCCATCTCATTTATTAAAGTTATAGAACTTGAGAAACATTTAGACTAATTTTTATGAGCGCTCTTTTTTATAAACCAAATTGAATAGAATACTTTAAGGCCTGTTTTCACAGAGACATACAACATATAGTACATAATATGACATATTACATGCATAGACACACACACACACACACA